TGTACTCGTACTCAGTGTGACTTGCTCATGTTTCGACATTGGGGAATCCAAGACTTCGACTTTGTGTCCTTGCCACTGTGTCTGCGTCCGACCCTCGGTCGTGTCGTGTCGTGTCGAGTGAGTGAGTGTGTGTGTATGCTCTCACTCTCTCCCTCTCTCTCTCTCCTCTCCCTCGGCTCTCCCTGTCTCCCTCGACCTCATACTCGTTACATCCGGGCCCCCATTCTACTCCGAACAGGAAGTCGCGCTGGGCGTGAGGTTGGGCGTCACAGTATCAATCAGCCAAGACGATACACGGGGGCTGTGGACACCTGGGAGTAGTCTAAGGAAGATCAGTTGTCAACTTCTAGGAGGGGGTTGGGTCAGTTGTTAAGTAGGAGCCCCGCAATGGGAATGGGACAATTTGCAGCTCCAAGGGATACAGTGTGCTCCAAAGCAGAATAGAATAATGATTATAGCCTCAACATTGACCTGCATTGATGTATTAAAGGGACGCTGGACCCGGTTTCCAGCAGGTGTCGCTCCCCACCAATAAATGGAGCAGCCCAACAGCCAAGGCCTCAATTCTGGTGGTTCTCTTACCACTGTTGCGGGATAGTGGCCTTACAAAAGGGGTTTTATTAAAGAAAAAAAAAAAAAAAAAACACCCATAGTGAAAGGTTCCACATGCTATGTAAAGTCGGACGCAGTGACGCACTAGAAAGTGAAATGAAACCCTGGCTATGTGCGTTCACAGAAACGAGTTTGGGGCTGCACGGCAACGACAACATGAACACGCTTTGTCAGAGAGTCCTCCCACAAGGAGGTAATGATGGCACAAGCACTGTCGAACCCATACCCCACCCCAAGTGGGGTAAGGATAGGGGGCTTTGTGTTAGGGTGGAAGGATTTTTTAGCACTTTTCTTGAACAAAAAAAAAAAAACCACAAAAGTTTGTTCAGTTCTGCTACCTAAAAACATCCGCTAGATGCGCAGCTCCACATGCATCTCCAACATCGTGTGGGGTCAAACACATTGGACTAGTTCAACATTGAACTAGTTGAATCGTCTATGTGGGTCTTGGCCCCGGAAGTACTGGGCCATTACCCAACTTAGGCAATATATTGAAAACTGGGTCCAACATCCCTTCTCTCTTCTCCTCGTAGCTCCCCAAAACCGCCGCCCTGATCCTCTACCTGGGGTGAGGTCCCACTAGCGAAGAGGATTGGATTGAACGCTGGAATCTATACGTGTTCCTGGAAAAGTGCAAAAGTTCAAGATTTAACAGCTTTTCTGCACCTCTGCTTAAAACATGTCCAGATTCAGGAGCTAAATCCAATCCTCTTTGCTAATGGGACCTAGGCCCTGTTGTCTACCTATCTGTGTTGCAACCACCGAAGTTATCAATCCGCCCCTTCTATCCTACTTGCCCTTACCGCTAAAGCAAAAAGGATTTCAGTACCGTGGATGGCCAGAAGGGAAAGGAGGTTCAAAGGAAAACTATGGTCTATCTATGCAATCAGGAACAAGTTTAAGTTTGCAGTTCGTAATCTTATTTTTGTAGAGTGGAGAAAACTCAGAATCTCGGCCAATCCAGAACCGATAGCTAGACAACGTTTTCTTGGTTCGTTTGAAAATACGCACTTTAAACCACCAGTACTTGGCCCTGCTATCGGCCGCGGGAAAAAAAAAAGGTAGAAACGTTTCTTGTAGGATGAATTTGGACGCTCCTGTAGTAGCCCGTATGTTTCCTAAAATCGTGGCGCGTTAACGAGCACGACGGTAGGAAGTACTGGTAACCAGTACTTGGCCCAACTATCGGTCGCGGAAAAGAAAAGAGTAGAAACGTTTATAGTCGGATGAATTTCGCCCTGTGTAACACTCCGTACGACGTACGGGGGGTTTATCGTACGGTCGTACGTACGGCCATATGAACGGCTGTACGGCCGTACGTACAGCCCCGTACGA